CTAGTATAAAATTAAATAATTCTTCCAATCTATATATCTAATCCAATAAATAATTTTAACATATTCTCGAACTATAAGTCTCCTGGTTGTCAGGCCGCTCCTTATAAAAAAGAAATAAATAAAATTATTTATTTTGATGGATAGCTTTACAATTAAATATCTTATATTTTATTATTTAAGAACTCAAATTTTAGTAAGAGGGAATTGTTACTAAAATAATTTTTAATAACATAAAGATCAAATCTTTTATAGCATGTGAATTTAGTAAGTTGTCTACATGCTTAGTCCTAAATTAATTTACATCACATGTAATAATAATTCAAAATCATATAACGAACAAGCACATGACATAAAATGAAATTCAACATACTTCTAACATGTTTATCTTATATATCACATAAAATAATTCATGCTAGAACATTATTATTAATTTATATCTCATAAACTAATAACAATTAAAATAATTGTATAATCTAATAACCTATTATAGATTACCGTCGTATCTTGTACGAAATTTCAAATTCAAGTTACGAACAATGTCAATCGTTTAACTTTTATAAATACATATTTTATTCACAATAAAATAATATCAATTTCATATACATTCAAACAATTTGACTATTGCACAAGACACAAGGATAATGGTTTGAACTTTTCAAATAAAATCTTAAAATATTTCATAAATAAATTTTAGACACGAGAAACCATGGCTTTGATACCACTGTAAGATTGCATAGAGGTGTTCATAACACGCAGCGGAAGACAATAACAATCCTAGGCAGAACTTTTCGTGTTTAAATATTTATTTATATGTCAAAGATCGGATCTAAGACGTACCTGGTGAAGAGAGTCTCGTTTTAAATTTTTTCGATAGTGCGAAAACTGTATGCGTATCCACACCGAGACTGATCCTTGCCATCAACTCTTTGATCAATAAAATCCCGCGAACAAATTGAATGAAAATATTGTGTTGAACTTTTTCTCAAAAATCTCAACTCAAAGGTAGAAGAACAAGAAATAATTTTCTTGTACTAGTATTTTCTATCTTGGCTTTGTATTGCACTATTACTTTCTCAAAGCAATTTTCTTCTCAAGAATAACTCTCTTGGATTTTACAATATGTATAAGAACTATATCACCATAATTCTTAATTAGGACTCACACATATATATACACATAATTTTTATTGAAAAATACAAATCACATGCTTTATGGCAAATATTTAAAAAATATGTAACTAATTATGGAATTCAATTCTAAATTGAATTCTATAACTTAGTCAATATTTTAAAATAAAAACATGTAACTCATTTATTGAATTCAATTCTAAATTGAATTCTATAACTTAGTCAATATTTTAAAATAAAAACATGTAACTCAAATTTTGGAATTCAATTCTAAATTGAATTCTACAAATTAGTCNAGAGTTGACAGATTCCATCTTGATCAATCACTAATTCTACAAGTATTTAATCGTACCCAATATTGTTTCAGCTATCGCCCTAGGGCCATAGATGTATAGTATCAAAGCACAATAAATTACTTGTCAATTACTATGATGATATCAGGTCAAAGGAAACTCTTACATCACATTCTTCAAAAGAATATCCTATTGACAGTTTATGATAATCCTAACCATTAAGAATTATCCAATGAATCGGTTCAATGATTATATCTATATATGCATCATCTATTTATGTTATTTAGTTAATGAGATCAACTAATCTTTATTTCATAAAGACGATCACATAAATATTGATCTAACCGGATTACTAACGTCCAAATTAATAATCCTACGATCAAGAACAAAATTTAGATTAAATTGTAAGAGACTTTACTCTCATTATCATGATCTCCATCATGATGACAAGTCTCAAAATTTAATCAAGGACCTTATTAAATTAATCAAGCAATTAATAATAAATATGATAAACGAATATCAAATGCCATATATTTTTATATCAAATAACATTCACAAAAATATGTTCAAATCATCAAATATGAAATTGAATTTATGGCATATATAATATATCCCTAACATAGCTATGGTACTCGGTAATATAAAACCTATCAAAACTATTATACTTCACAGCTAGTAACTTCCACTGGCAACTCAAGTCTTTGCATTCCACATAAATTAATTTTCTGCTGCACTTTTTCGAATCAAACGTAAAAGAAATCTTCACAGACGTCAGTTGCAATTGTGTCATTAGCTCTTTCTTGTCCTTGAACCATTTCCATATATAAAAACCTTACCATTAGGGTGACTGTAATGTGAAGGAGCATACTCCAGCACGCAGTATCAGGGAGCTCTTCATCTCCGTCTGTATTTTTAGGACCATACGAGTTTATTTTGTTCTCACCGAAATTATTCAACCCATGACTATATCCACTAAAGTCATTCTTAACCATTATCTCATCGACTTAAAAAAATGTTGGTTGTGGAGGTGATGGTGGTGGTGCAACTGCGGCATTTGAACCTTGATGAGATATTTCAAAAGGAACATCAAGAAGGTACAAACGCAAATCATTATCATTCATAATGAAGGAAGGAGGAATCTTATCCCTCGTCGGCAGATCTAAGCATGTAAGTAATATTCAGGTGCCTCGACGAATATGTTAGTTTGCCACGTTTAATTACGACATCAACAAAATCATTATAGGAGTATGTACCATTGGTACATATACGAATAGGTATTGTCGCCTTTGTATCACAATCTAAAGTCCAACTAGTTGGCTCCTCAACCCAATCACCGGAATAAAGACCACATGCTAATATATAGTCTCTCATCAGTCTATTGAGAATCAATGGTCTATATAACTATGGTCTATTATGCACTAGTGATCGAGTGACTAAGCAAATTGCAGAGCAGAAAATCTGCAGAAACCCAAATGCACAATGACTAAGAAGATGAGATGTAAACACTTACCAGACGAACATATAGTATATTTTATCGCTTAAACGTAATGTCCAATCCAATGTACCACCAGTTCCATCTCCAGATCGACAAATCGAAAATTTCGAGCTTCCTCTCCAAATCGACAAATTTGATGAATGTGGTTTTGAGATGAAGGGGAAAGAAGGGAGCATGTCCATATGACCTCTATGCTAGGAATGGAAGAAAATGCGAGCTTCAATGGAGGATTTTCGCGACGGAATTGGAACAAAATGGAGATTGAGAAACGCGGGAATGAGTTTTCTATTTTTTTAATTTCAATAATGGTAATAATAAATTTATATAAGTTGGATCAATGTGTAATAAGTAAAACTTTGGGGCTGCAATATCAACTTTCCCTTCACCTTCTCACTAACCCAAATTTCATATTAACATTAATTAAACAATAAAGTTATTTGAACAATAATTAAGACTTGAAGGTCTTTGTCAATTTAAATTTGAAAAGAGGTCATATTAATACTTATTTAAGGAAAAGATAATGATAATTAAATGAGATAGCCTTTATGACTAATGATATTTGCTAATGTTTTTCGTAATTGGATGTCTTAAAAACCTAAACAGTAGATAAAATGGACTAGAGGGCAGAGGCAGTTTGGTAAAACTTTAGTAATTTCTTAAGATTTACTACGGAGTAATTCGTTTGCTAATATTATTATCCATCTTTAATGTGAATAATATTTTTTTCAGCCTACCAAACACACTACTTAAGATGTTTCAATTGCGCATAATATGTGAAATTCATTTATTAGGTATACATAGTGATAGTATCAGAAGCTCTTGAGAATACCTTTTGTTTACCAAAAAAATCACCATGTAGAAAAATCACATAATTCATGTCCATTCAGTAATTATCTTATTCTAATGAGCACATTGCAGTGTTAATTTCACTGATGGTTATTGAACTATCTTTCAATTTCACTAAAGTCATATAATTATTTTTTATCACTTAAAAGTAACTAAACTTTATCATTGTCACTTAAAAGTCATTTTGTCTCAAACCCCTACCATAAATATGACACGACATTAAATTTTATGATAAAAATTCAAAAATAAATGCCACATAAGCTAATATGGGTCATACCCATTTTGGATTCATTTATCCTTTAATGTGATTTGATCCATAATCCAAATGAGTTTCGATACAAAAAAATTAATTCCACATTAGTTTAAAATGATTATCCTATACTACCCAGTTTTTCCTTTTCTGTCACAGTACATTCATAATTATTCTATACTAAAATAATCTATGTTAGAAAATTCTTATTTTGTCTGTATGCCCCATCCGAGTCATTCATAATTATTCTATACTAAAATAATCTATGCTAGAAAATTCTTATTTTGTTTGTATGCCCCATCCGAGTCATTTTAAAATACTATTGTATACAATAGTATTTTAGTTCTAGTAGAGTTATAAAATGACTCGGATGTGGCATACAAACAAGATAAGAATTTTCTAGCATAGATTATTTTAGTATAGAATAATTATGAATGTGCTGTGACAGAAAAGACAAAACTTTGTAGTATAAGATAATCATTTTAAACTAACGTGGAATTAATATTTTTTTTTTATAGAAACTCATTTGGATTATGGATCAAATCACATTAAAGGATAAATGAATCTAAAATGGGTATGACCCATATTAGCTTATGTGTCATTTATTTTTGAATTTTTATCATAAAATTTAATGCCATATTATATTTATGGTAGGGGTTTGAGACAAAATGACTTTTAAGTGACAATGATAAAGTTTAGTTACTTTTAAGTGACAAAAAATAGTTACATTACTTTAGTAAAATTGAAAGATAGTTCAATAACCATCGGTGAGATTAACCTGAACATTGCATACAAAGTTTCATTATATCCAACTGTTCCTTTCATTATGTTATTTTTTGAGAGACTATATAAAATAAAGGGAGTATGTATTACAAAATGTTTTTCTTTATTGGTTTTTTCGTAGATCCATGTTTTTTAACAAAAGGTTTATGCTTACATTTTTGTATTATTAAATTGTTATTCTTATTTTAGTTTCCTTTTTCCCAAACTCCTATTTTAAAGAACCACACTCCACTGCAGAACTAAACAGTCCACCGACAGCAGCAGCAAGTGATCATAGTGAGTGAGCCAATGTCCGCTTACATTCCGCCGCACAAAAGGCACACAAAGGGATCGCCGTCGCCGAAGCCAACTCCGTCGCCGGAGTCCCTGACACCTACCTTCAAGAAAAACCTGAATTTCGGGAACCAGAAGAGAAAGGAAAAGTATTTGGGCGGCTTCCTTTACGCTCATGATGCAGTTTCCAAATGGTTCCCCGTTGGCTTGACTGTTGACGATTCTCAGTTTTCATCTCTTGTGAGGCTCCAACCCGTTTCAGTGGAGCGAAAATCAGGAGATAAACCTCTCTCTTTGGTTCTAATGGAAGGTACTAGTACTTTCTCCGTTTTTCTACAACAGTAGTCAAATAAAAGTAGAATCTTTTACTTGATGAATGCTGCATTAAATGTTTGTACTTATATGCTTTAGTGGTTGTACCTAGAGAGTGTTGTTTTGGTTTGTCAGCAGCTAGTGTAGGTAGGTACATGAAAAAAAGAAGCTAGGTAGGTACACTACGTGGTGCACCTTTTTGAACGTGACGTACAACTCCTACCTAGTTCAATTTTGGTTGCCCTCATTTTCTGGGGAAAAACTGAAGCAAAGGAAGGAACTTCTGAAAATGCTGCCACACTTTCTGCTAGGTTTTAAGGCATCTTTCTGTCTTTCTTAGTGTAAGGACTAAACAGCGTCACAATTGCAAAATTCTGGAAGAATTAAAAAGGGAAGGCCAGTGCTCAAAACATCCCGTGTTCACACAGGTCCAGGGAATGGCTGCACCCCAGAGGTAAAAGGAAAGGGAAACTGAATTGGGAGAGATCAATGTCTTCATATTGAATGGGATGGAGGTCAAATTTATGTTAAGCTTTTTATCAGTTAGAATCTCCGCTCTAAGATTAGTACATACTTTTTGTTGTGGAATGAATAGTTAAAATCAATCATTTGTGGTATTGTACCCACCTTTTTGTTTTCTATTCGATTTTCTAGTTTGGAGGGTTTTTTATCTCTAAAATCCTTTTGTCTGATTTTCATGGACAGATGGACTTCAATTTCAATTTGTGAAATCTTTATTCAGTGATCTTTACTAAACCATATATATATATATATATATATACACACACACATACTTGTTCTAGGTTGCAGCGAACGAACAAATCAGCTTATGGATAAGCCATGGCTTTTGGCGGCTTTAAGTGTGATGGAGGACTTACTTTTGTCATTTCAGCATGTGAAGCGTGACATGGAGGAATCTAATATGGAAGAAATAAAGCCAACTCTAGTTGCTCGTTTTGGAAGGATTCTCTTTTATGGGTTAGTATTCTTCATTTCTATATTAGGCTTGTCATATTAGGAATCTTTGGAGTCTTTTGTACCCTTGTGAAACCTAATAACATGTGTCCTTATATTCGAAACATATAGGTATTTAACAATGCAAACCTCCCTGACTAAATGGGCTAGCTGTTCTCTCGGTCAATTTGTACCCCTTCTCATTCATTCCCTTTTGGCTTGCGAAGACTAGAAAATATTGATGATGAAAGTTGGGAAGTGTTTAAGCAATACCTTATGTTGGGGAATTAAAGAATATAAAAATTAAGTGAAATTAGATAATGCATGGCTGTCTTATTTTCTTTCCCCCTAATTTATTGGATTTCTCCGAGGGGACGATGCATGGCTGAAAGTTAAAAGGACTTTGACAAAGAGTTTAGACTAACTAAGTGACTATTAATTTGAGTGTTATATTGTCTATATTTGACCAAGTGACAAAAGTATTCATTAGTTGGCTAGTCTCTTCTCAATGTTTGCCATTAGGGAGGTTAGTCACACCCTATTGAAGACATCAATGCTGTATTTTTTTCCCTAAACAAACTTATTGGAAGCTGTTCCCGTTATCATTTTGTTTTGCCTTGTAGTCACCACAAAAACTGCTATATTAAAAGATCACAAAAAGAACTACCATATTAGATGGACACTTAGTGTTTTCTGATTTCTCATAAACTGGCATAGAGGATGGCACAATAGAGTAGTGCAGAGATTACATGCAAGAATTTTGGCTTCTGAATACTTTGCATGTTTACTTGTTTTTTCCAATTCGTTAGAGTTGAGTAAATAAGTATTATAGCCTTCATACCCCACAATTTTGGTCTTTGCAGTTTGCTACTTTAAGATCATGTTCCGTAGCTGTATTACTTAAAGAAAATAATTAATCAACCAGCTATGCTTCAATAAAGATCTAGTTGGGATTCATTATAAAAATTCTGTGTCCTTCAGCTTTATTCAAGTGAATTTTATGATAGTACTCAATTTTTTTGTCTTGCAAGGCAGATTAGGATTTTTCTAAAAATAGAAATTCTCTAAATCGCAAACTTATTTTACGTTGACATACAAGTATTAACTAGATGCAAGAGACTCCTACAACGAGTCTAGTGTAAGTCTTACAACAACTAGTCATTAAACCCAACTAGTTAGTATTGTTTATATGAACTCTTGGATTCTGTCCTTAGCTAATTCTACATTGGTTTCAAGAAATTATAGGTCTTTTGAGATAGTTTTCTCCTCGTGATTCTAGGTGTTCCCGTCTTTGTCCAGCATTTTTAATCATCATAGTTTTGCGCCTTTAGGTTGTGCTTATGAATGGCCTTGTAAGATATGGCGATCTCATGTGATCTTTTCTCATTTTATCTCCAATGTGCTCTACTTGGACCTTGTATTAGATTTATTTATTTCTAATATCGTCCAACATTGTATGATCGTTCATCCATCTAGGATCTATCTATACTTGTACAATATTCCTCTTATATTGGGCCTTAGAGGTCGTACGCTTACTTTCATGTAATATTGCTGGTTTCATAACAGTTCTGAGAATTGAATTCTTGTGACTTCAAGAAGGGAAACAGAATGTTTAAATTATCTAAATAATATACCTTTTAATGTAAAATCAGTTGCTGAATTCTTTTTTTTTTTCCATATAAAAGCAGATAGAAGTTTTCTTGACATGCAACCTTTATTTCCTTTAAGATGAGCGAAATCTTTTTCCTTATACCTTTTTTTTTTGATTAAACTCAAATTGTATTAATCAAAGTGTATATGTACATAGCCAAGTAGCTGCTGACCAACTACTATCCAGAATTCTGAATCTAGTCCTAGATTACATATTGCATTCGCATCTACTACAAATCTAGGCATTGCTTCAAACAAAACTAGACAGTTCATTACATACAAAGGCCTAGGCAAATCTATCTAAGCTATGTAATGTCTGCTGCCAAGTTGGACGTCTTCTGCCTCTAGCGTGCACATGTAGAACAATTTCTCTGCATATTCTGTGTTCCTCAAAGACACTTTGCTGGAATCTAATCATGTTCCTTTCCCTCCATATTCGGTATATTATCATATCAAACACACAACTAGTGATTGCAGCTTTTCCTGTCTTCTTTCTAGCCATTCTGCTTGCCCATGTAAGCTCCTCTTTCCATCCCTTTATGTTCCTTTTCATGCCTAGCCATACCAGTAATCTGGTCCATACTCTGCTAGTAACTGGGCACTCAAAGAATAGGTGCTGCAGTGTTTCATTAGCAGCTTTGCAGAATACACAATCCTGTGGCACCTGTATTCCCATTTTATTTAGTCTATCCACAGTAGATAGCCTTTCATGTGCAGCCAACCATAATATGAACTTGAATCTGGGGTGAATGCTTGTCTGCAGAACTATGCTCTTCCAAGGGACTTTCTGATACTGGGGAATCAACATAAGATAGGCCTGCTTGATTGAAAATTGTTCTTGCACCTGCAATATCTTCAGTTGATCACTCAAGGATCCCAGCATGGGCTGCCTCTTCAAGTTCTCCCTTGTCTCTATGATTTTCCTGATTACCTAAGCTGCAGTCTTGGGTGTAGGCATGTGCTCCAAGTCCTGCTTTTTTATATAGTAGTTATGAACCCATTTTATCCACATGCAGTCTTTTTTCATTGCAACTGCCCATAATTGCTTCATCACAGCAGCTTTGTTCCAAATGCATAAGTTTATGACATTCAAGGCCCCCTGCAGATTGAGGCATACAGACTTTTTCCCAAGATATTAGTGCTTTCTTTGTGATAGATGCGTCACCAGTCCATAAGAATGATCTGCATATTGCATCAATCATCTTCATAACTTTCTTGGGAAGGATGAATATCTGTGCCCAGTATGTTTGAATGCCAAACAACACTGATTTTATCAGTTATAGTCTGCCAGAGTATGAAAGTAACCTTGCAGACCAACACCTTACTCTTGCTGTAATCTTCTCAATTAAGGGTAAACATTGCTGCACGGTTAATGTTTTTGATGATAGTGGCACTCCTAAATATCTGAAAGGAAGAGTACCCTCTTCAAACCCCAGTACATTCATAATATCCTGTTTTTCATATTCATCCACCCCTGCCAAGTAAATAGAGCTCTTATCAGTGTTAGCTTGTAGTCCAGAAGCTTCAGAAAATTTCTGAAAAGTCCCTTGAAGGAGTTTGATGGATTCAATGTCTGCCCTGCAGAACATAAGTAAGTCATCCGCAAAACAAATGTGGATTATGCCCAGTTTCCTACATCTAGGGTGAAAGTTAAAGTCCCCATTCTCTGCCAGTTGCATCATTTCTCTATTTAAGTACTCCATAGCAATTACAAAGAGGTAAGTAGGGTCCCCTTGTCTGATCCCTCTTTTTCCTTGGAAAGGTTTGGTAAGTCCTCCATTTAGCACTAGGGAATATGAAACTGTTGTGACACATTCCATAATCCATTCAATGAATCTGAAGGGAAATCCAAGATCACTAAGCATTCTTCTCAAGAATCTCCAGTCTATAGTATCATATGCTTTCCTTAGGTCCACTTTCATAACACACCTAGGAGATACCCCTTTCCTGTTATATCTCTTGAATAATTCATGGCTGAAAAGTATGTTATCAATGATACTCCTTCCTTCTATAAAAGCAGACTGCGAGTGACCTACTATGTTCCCAATCATCTCCTTTATTCTCAGTTGTAACACCTTGGCAATGATTTTGTACAAGGTGTTACAACATGCAATAGGTCTACCAGTGTAGGATCTGTGAGTTTGATACCTGTGCCTGTATAGATAGGTGTAATTGTGTTTTTGCTTTGTCTGATCTTCCATTGTTCATGAAAGTACTGTCAATTGGTGTCTCCACACATAATCCAGTTTGCCCTGGATTTCTGTCTAAAGTGCTTGCTCTTCAATGTTGCTCCATTTATCAATTTCAGCTAGTATCTCCTTCTCCTGATCAAACAAGTTTTGACAAAAGGGCGGAGTACATATGGTAGCTTGCACAATCTCCAGTTTTTGTCTAGCTTGATTCAGCCTTTGTGCATATGAGGCCATGTACTGATTTAGGTCCTTTAGCTCATGCTTCAACTCCTGTAGCTTCCTACTAATACTGGCCATATCATCTGCACCCTGGTTCTGCTCCCATACCCTTCTCAATATCATGAAACTCAGGATGTTCCATTACATTGGCAAACAGTTTAAATGGTTTTGGATGTAATCTCCTCCTCTTACCACATCTCAGCAGAACAGGAGAGTGATCAGATACTCATGGATTGAGGAAGTCTGCCTCAATATGTCCATACTGCTGTAGCCATTGAAAGTTGCCCAAAGCCTAATCTATTTTACTATATACTCTGCTTGCCACAGGCTGCTTGTTACACCAGGTAAAATGCCATCCTATTGATCTTATTGGAGTCAACTGCAAGTTATTAAGCATTTCCTGGAAGCCTTGAATTTCCCTTGCTGTGACTGGTTGCCCAATTCTATCCTCAGTAGTTAGACCATTGTTGAAATCTCCACATTGAATCCATGGAGGACTGATTGGTGCCCCCAACTGCTGTAATTCAGCCCACAATTCCTCCCTTTGTTGCAATGTATTCTTTGCATACACCACTGTAAACTCTGTATTAAACTGGCTTGTATTATCCTCCACTGAGCAATGGATATACTGGTCCTTTATTGATAGTATCTGCACATTAATATATATGATCCTTCCATAAGAGCCAAATTCTGCCATTTACTGTTGTGTTATAGTTACAACAGTAGTTCCATCCTTTAGCTACTTTCTGCAGAATTTTCCTTGCTTTATCTTCTTTAACTCTAGTTTCCACACACCCTATAATGTCTATTTTATGTCTTGCCAGAAAGTGCTTCAACTCCTTCTGTTTTGAGAGCTTGTTTAGCCCTCTAATATTCCAGGTGCACACAATCATGGGGGGTCTACCATCCTCTGCACACATACTTGTCCTCCCCCTGTAGTGCTAGGTTCCTCAATTCTTAGAGGAGCAAATCTGTTGGCCTTCTGCAACATCATAGGCTCTCCCTGTGTAGTATCTTGTACAGCTATGGTTTTGCCTTTTGACCCTTTAATATTCTGTTGCTCAGTCTGTTGTTCAATATGATCCTCTTCTGTATTTAGGGAG